TTCCTGTTGTCTCATCTTCCTTGGCACCCTCCGCCCCATTTTAATTTTTTGTTGGCTGACAATCTACAGGTTTTTTGTTTTTTTTTACTGAAGTGTGAATTAAAAATGCATTCAAAGTGAATTAAAAATGTTATGCCTGAACTTAGAGAATAGCAGACTTCTCAATTTACTGAATAACCTTGTAAGGCACACAGTCCTATGTGTTCCTGACAGCAATGTGTGATAGCTTGATATTAACAAATGGCGAAATTAAACATATTATAAGCCTCATTTTCTACTCTTAACATGTTTGAAGATGCATTTAAGGTATTTTTCTATAGAATGTATATCACACATATCATAATAAGGGGATTCATCTTCTAGTTCCTAACTTATGCTCTGTTCATTCTGCCAGTATGACAGTTGTTGTTTTTTTTTTAAATGTAATCTTTTTTTTATTGACATTACTAAACTTTTCACATCTTTTATGACATGAACCAATGTATTGTGTAAGCACGTTCCGTCCTATTCTCGCATTGTATGTCCTGGCACATATGTTTGATATAGTTGGTTATTAAAGTGGGTTTTTTTGTTTTGTTTTTTACAATGGCATAATTCTATCTAAGTGAGATTTCATTTTTACCATAAAATCCTACATTGTGCTATTTAAGTGATTTGTGAAGCACAATTATGCACAATTGTGTAAGTTAGGTTTATTCATTTTGGCAGAGAATTAAAAAAAAACAAAAAAAATGTGCTTCAGCTGTACATATTAATACTTTTTTTTCATTGATTTGAATGAGAAATTGACATTTGCATGTGATGCACATTAATGATAATTCTCCAATAGAGATGTGAGGATTGGCTCAGAGATTTCAGACATTTATTGGGGTTGATGACAATGCTACTGGAAAAGGATTGGAGGCTTTGAATTTACTGCCAAAGATGCCTTTATATGTAAATATTTAAATGTTTCTAATGCCTTATATCAATAAGCTTAAGACAATGTTATAGAATTTTAAGATGCACATGGAATGCAGTCATGTATTTTTTTACATTTTTTTTGTAAAAGTTGTGTTCAAAACAAAACTTAATTTCACATGGACTATTCATATATAAACATATATAAAACATAATTTATAATTAATAAAATCTAACGCTGCAACAGCCCTGATGACGTAAATTTCCTCTGGTGAAATACTGCAAGTATATGACAATATGAGATATTCCACTAGATACCGGCTGATAACCCATACTATGCCTGACATATCGGCTAACTAACCACCCCACTCACTTATCAGACGATTGAGAAATTTACTGCCTAACCTAGAGGGAGGAACGGACTCTAGGACCAGCTGTACGGCCTTGACCTTTTAACTATGCTAATACTCCCAAGAGGCATCTTCACACATACACAAGTCACGCTTTATTACAAAGACCACTGTACCTTTACTAATTATACCTAAAGTGGAAAAACTCCAATCTCAGCTTCCGATCCAGATGCTATATCCTCTTGTTAAGCTATGTTATGTCCTCAACTACTAATCCGACACGTATTTTCATGTAACAGCGCTGTATTCATTCTACGACTTCCGAATAAAGCATATTAATTTTCATGAAAACTGAAAAATAAAATCTAAAAAAAGTGTGAGACATTAAGATTTAAAAAAAAAAAAGTTTTGGTGGCATAACTGTGAATGTCATAATACTATTAGTTTTTACTGCAATAAAATGCACATATTTTTATTCAGCGATGTCTCACAAGTACAGATAAAGATATGGGACGCAATAAAAGAGCAATAATGAATTTGATACTTATTAATCTTTAGTTGTCATTCATATTTCACCTAAATAAGAAAGTAGATACATAGCATAATACTGTTTTAACACATAAAGACAGAAAATGACTGTAATTGTTTCACTCACACTTTGCAGAGCCACTTATAGTCGGCTCTGACTCTTCAGGTTCTATAAGAAATACCTCTCTTAATGTCTCCACTCCACCACTCTTCCAAATATAACCGCTGGTGCCAGGATACAGCAGATAAAAAGACGTCAAAAAAGGTGGGGATATGTGGTAAAATTTAATTTAATGACATAAGAAATATAAAAACAGGGATAAAAAGTAAATTAGAGTGAAAAATAAACAATAGCAGCACTGACGCGTTTCGACTATGACAGTCTTTCTCAGTCCATAAATTATCTGTCCGACTTCCTTGTTTAAATACCCATCCGGCGTTTCAAATTGGCACCTTTTTTTTCTTCATTTTGTTGCCGTCCTGCTACTTCCTATTCCCGACGGACTTCCTTGTCTCCGCCTACTTTTACATCACGTTGCGTCACATTGTGTCTGACGTCAGACGTCTTCCTCCGGTACCAGAAGTAATGTAAGCGGTCCTTGTGAGGTCAAGGTCGCCATATTGGAAAGTCCCGGACTCAATATAACATTTAAAAAGTCCTGGCAATCTCATTAGCAACTCATTCCACATTATTTACAATATAAAATACATGTATACATAACAGCTTAACCCCTTAAAACCGGAGGGCAGACTATTACACCCTATTCTAAGCAGCCTATTAACGCCGCAGGGCGTAATAGTAAGCCCTCCGTTTTTTTTTTACTAACCCGGTCGCCGGCGATCCCATGCCGGCGATCGCGGTTGGGGAGACTCACCTGGGATCCCAGGGAGTCCCCCGCAGCGGATCCTTCCTCCTCCGCCCCCCCCGGCCATGTAAGAGTGAGGTCCTCACAAGGACCGCTTACATTACTTCCGGTACCGGAGGAAGACGTCAGACGCAACGTGACACAATGTGACGTAAAAGTAGGCGGAGACAAGGAAGTCCGTCCGGCGGGAATAGAAAGTAGCAGGATGGTAACAAAAAGAAGGGAAAAAAGGCGCCAATTTGAAACGCCGGATGGGTATTTAAACAACGAAGTCGGACAGATAATTTATGCACTTTGAGAAAGACTGTCATAGTCGAAACGCGTCAGTGCTGCTATCATTTATTTTTCACTCTAATTTACTTTTTATCTCTGTTTTTATATTTCTTATGTCATTAAATTTAATTTTACCACATATCCCCACCTTTTTTTTACTTTTTTTATCTGCTGTATCCTGCTGTATCCTGCTGTATCCTGGCACCAGCGGTTATGTTTGGAAGAGTGGTGGAGTGGAGACATTAAGAGAGGGATTTCTTATAAAACCTGAAGAGTCAGAGCCGACTATAAGTGGCTCTGCAAAGTGTGAGTGAAACAACTACAGTCATATTCTGTCTTTATGTGTTAAAACAGTATTATGCTATTTATCTACTTTCTTATTTAGGTGAAATATGAATGACAACTAAAGATTAATAAGTATCATTATTTCTCTTTTATTGCGCCCCCTATCTTTATCTGTACTTGTACTTTTAATAAGGGTTTTTTTAAGTGTTTTTTTAAAAACACTGGGGAGTTGCACCTATACCTCTGATATTACCCCCACACCTTGTGTGTTTTGCACCTTGTTGTGTGAAGCTTGTCTTTTATTGGATGTCCCACGAGTAAAACAGTACCCCCCATGTACAGGTTTTATGGTGTTTTTAAAAATGTTACAGGGTCAAATATACCAAGGTTAATTTTTCAGTTTATACACATTGAAATTTGCCAGACAGGTTATGTTGCCTTTGACACTGTATCATAGCCCAGAAATTAGAATTATCCCCATGATAACATACCATTTGCAAAAGTAGAAAACCCACGGTATTCAATATGGGGTATGTCCAGTGTTTTTAGTAGCCACTTACTCACAAACACTGGCCAAAGTTAGAGTTTATATTTGTTTGATTGTGAAAAATGCAAAAAACTAATATGAACGCTAACTTCGGCCAGTGCTTGTGACTAAGTGGCTACTAAAAAAGACTGGACATAACCTTGGGTTGTCTACTTTTGCAAATGGTATGCCATCATGGGGTAATTCTTATCCCTGGGCTACCATACTGTCTCAAAGGCAACATAACCAATTTGGCAAATTTCAATGTAAAAAATGAAATGGGCAAGCTTTTTATTTGACCCTGTAACTTTCAAAAACACTATAAAACTAGTACATGGGGGGTACTGGTATACTCGGGAGACTTTGCTGAACACAAATATGAGTGTTTAAAAGTTCAGTTTTTGTGTGAAAAATGCAAAAGAAGTCACTTTGACTGACAATATCATCACTGTGATATGTTTTACTGTTTTAAAACACTAATAATTGTGTTCAGTGAAGTCTCCCGAGTAAAACAGTACCCCATATGTACAGGTTTTAGGGTGTCTTGGAAAGTTACAGGGTTAAATCTAGTGCTAGCAAATTAAATGATCTGGACTTTTGGTCTGGGTTGTCAGGCAGGTCCCTCAAATTGCAATCAATAACATTACTTAATTATGTAAAAATATTACATAAATATGCACGTAGAATTTAAATATATATACATATTTATATATTTTAAGTCTACGTATATTTATGAATTTGTTTATGTAAATATGTATATGGATATATATATAAAAAATATAGATTAATGGTTGCACTCACGGTTTTTCCAAGTAAAAGTCCAAAGTTTATTGTTACTTCATAAAAACTGCGATCAACGTTTCAGTCCCACCAAGAGGACTTTCATCAGGATCATAAAAACAATAATTACACATAAAGCACAATTTATACAAGACAGAGTTAATTAAAATAAGTGATTTAAGGTGAGTAATCTTACCCCCAGTGAATGTTACCGTCTACCCGGCGTCCCAGCAGCCCGTGTGCGCGTGTGCAAACGTGCTCCGCCCCGCGCAGTGACGTCATACTACGCCGGCGTCACTGCCCGTTTCCATGGTGACGCGAATACAAGCAAGCGTCGCTATGGAGATATAAACCAAAACGAACAGTAACATGTGTTTAAAACATTGCGATCAAGGTGATCAGTGGATTAAATTTCTAACTACATATTGCAAAAATAGAAAGGAAAGAGTTAGTTCATTGAGAATATAGATATAGTGTATTGTAGTAACCTAGTGTAGTGTTACAGTGCTGAAACATGCTAAATGTATATTGCACAAAAATGATACACACTGTGCATTTTTGTGCAATATACATTTAGCATGTTTCAGCACTGTAACACTTTAAGCACTCGTTTGCACTTTATATATGTTATCACTTTACACCTTTACAATCACTCTCTATTTAAAGATTTATATATTGCACACTATATGAGGTATTATCTGGCAGGTTAACCTCAGTAATTAATGGCACTTTAATGCACACTGCACTTTTGTATGAAATGGCGTTCAGTCAGGTTACTACAATACACTATATCTATATTCTCAATGAACTAACTCTTTCCTTTCTATTTTTGCAATATGTAGTTAGAAATTTAATCCACTGATCACCTTGATCGCAATGTTTTAAACACATGTTACTGTTCGTTTTGGTTTATATCTCCATAGCGACGCTTGCTTGTATTCGCGTCACCATGGAAACGGGCAGTGACGCCGGCGTAGTATGACGTCACTGCGCGGGGCGGAGCACGTTTGCACATGCGCACACGGGCTGCTGGGACGCCGGGTAGACGGTAACATTCACTGGGGGTAAGATTACTCACCTTAAATCACTTATTTTAATTAACTCTGTCTTGTATAAATTGTGCTTTATGTGTAATTATTGTTTTTATGATCCTGATGAAAGTCCTCTTGGTGGGACTGAAACGTTGATCGCAGTTTTTATGAAGTAACAATAAACTTTGGACTTTTACTTGGAAAAACCGTGAGTGCAACCATTAATCTATATTTTTTGTATCTTTTGTCTATATATGGTTGGCACCCGGTCGTGAAGGGAAATTCAGCGTAAGTGCGGGAATTAATTTTTGTTTTTTGGATATATATATATATATATTTTGTATTATTTTTATTTATATATACATATATATATATTTATTAATATCGAAATACAGTTAGAAAAAAATACATATATATAATTTTAAAAAGTTTTTTATTATTTTTACATATATATATATATATATATATATATATATATATACACACACGTGTGATTTAATGCGAAGTGTATATATGTATATATTAATATAAAATACACTTAGTATGACATTACATATATAAGATATATAGATATATTATTCCCCCAGACTGGGAGCAACGCTGATTGCCGGCAGGGGAACGGCGGGGATCAGGTAAGTGGAGTGGACTGCGGGGACTTTCTATGCCCGCCCGCCCGCCCGCGGGCGCTTAGGCTCGGTTCCTTAAGGATCGCATAGAACGCCCGCTGTCCTTAAGAGGTTAACGAAAAGCTCAGAGACAGCCTTAGAAAACACTCCAAATATTCTTGTATAATTATGCCATGACAGTGGTTTCTTAGAACTGCTTTTGTAACCTCTATTATGTAATTCCAGGAAATAACCTGATTTTATAATACATCTTTGATTATTTTCTAAGCGTTTGCTGTATATAAATTATGAAAGAGTATTTAAAAGAGATATAGACAGAGAATATAGTTATTTATTCTTTCTTTGTTCCCCTGCATTCTTATTTATTCTTGTTCATTGCTATACACATATTTATTTTTATTTGCATATCCACCAAGTGTCCCTATTTAGGAGGGACAGTCTTTATTCTGGGCCCAAATCCTGTTCCTCTTTTTACTCTAATATCCCTCTTTTTCTAAGTTATTATTAATAGTGTGTATGAGTGTATCACAGAGCGACGCAGCAATAATATTTTTTTTCAAATTCTTTCTTTTATTTTTCTAAATTACATTTTAGTTGCATAAAATGTTATAAGTTGCCTCTTACTCGATGTCCACTGGTGATGAACATGTTTCCAACTACCAAAGCCACCAATAAGGTTTGGGATGTATTATATAAAAAGATTAATCCTTCTGCTTTCTGGTCCAGAACTACCCCTTTGTCAGTGTTGCAACCTACATTACCCAATCTGGACGTGGAATATTGACTTTTCCCACAGATCTTAAAAATCTTGTGATATCTTTTAATAGGTAGTCCAGGCTTGGAATCAGTCCACCAGCCCAAGCATAAACCCACATAGTGCTAGACTAGAAAATACCTTGCACAGTTCCTTCTTACGATACTTTGCTATTCAACATACCTACGCACCTCTATGTGCTTTTAATCAGAAGAAAGCTACTGCTGTAAAGCTACTGACCACAATCCATGTATGTCTCGCTTTCCTGGTGCAGGGGTATTTGCCTCATTTTGAGCCCTCACATGATTTGTTGTTACTCTATTTAAAAAAAAAGTTCTGAATATGATTTTATGATTCAGGTTTTAGAATATTCATACAGAATAATCCAATAAGAAAAACACAAAAATATTTAGAAAATTTAATTTACAGTACACCTAGAATTCATAAAAAATAATAAATAAATATAATTAAACAAATGGCTAAATTAAATTATATAAGATTATTCACTTAATTTTTAGTTAAAGCAAACTAAAATCCTAATCACACAATCTAGCCTAAAAAAGCAGATTTTGGAAAATTCTTCAGCTCAACTATATTCTAAGCCTGGCTCTTTAGCCTAACTTTTGCCATTCAGTTTTCAATAAACTACAATTCAGTGAATAAACTCCATAAGTACCACATTGGCAGTAAATAGTAACTAATATCTATAAATGACAATAAATCATGTTAAGTGTGCACTGAGGCATTTCTCACAAAGGAAATAGTCCTTGCCTGTCCCTTTTAATGCATCCCCAGGGCCAACATTCTTACAAGATTTGTTTCCCATACGTGTTCATAACCATATTTTTTAACAACCAGAGCTGAATTCCCATTAGGCAGAGAAGTCACCTGCCTACAACTGCTTGTCTGCTAGTGGGTTCCCGTTCACTGCACTTATAATGTGCCTTTTTGGAGCTCAAGTAGGCTAGTGAAAGAGAAAAGTACCAGGAACCTTGGTCAGTGTCCTCTGTCAACCTCCTATGCTTTATAGCAGAGCTGCAGAAAGAGTTATAGAGGGTGCAAAACTCAGTGCTGTCTCAACTTTTCCACTGTCTGTGTGTGAGGCTGGACAGAACGTGGAAGGGATCATTACGTATCTGTGCCACTGACAGCCTCTTACACAGGAAATGCCTTGCAGCATTGAGTGATGCACACCGTATAAAAACTACTGCAGCTACTGCAGCAGGTTGATAACAATTAATCTTATAAGGCTGACTGGACTATAGAGGACATAGGACGATATGTATTGCAAATAACTCTTCAAGCACCAAATGCCCTAAACATCCATTTTCCCTATCCCTAAGAGGAGCAGTAACATACAACACACAATATAGGAGCATTAGTAAAAAAAAGTGTCTATGAAACAGAACTGGAGTCTGATTTAGTGCAATGTGAAATCAAGAATGTCAGTCTGGCTGGTCTACATCAAATGTGCGAATGTCCAAGACTCGACAGAAAGAAACGAGCGTTCAGCTGAACTCGGGTCTTTAGGCGCTCCAAAGTGATGCCGACCAATAGTTTTGGCACCCTGGCTATATTAAGCCAGGGCTTTCAGTAGTAAGTTGCCCTGTTGTAGTTCTTGAATACCCAAGAGTGTGCTTTATAGTATTTTGGATTTTTTGTTACTGACTTTGGCTTGTTTAATCATCTCTCCGCTTTCTGTGTTCCTGACCTTGGCTTGTTTTCTCATTTATGCTGTTTTCTCCTTAACCCTGGCTCTCTCTCTGACTACTCTTTACGGTAAATCCAGCCATTCTAAGGTAATACATTATTCTATCTCTTCAGCAGATTAGGCTCTGTGAGTGTTAGGTTCTTCTATCCAGCTGTGGATAGAGGACAGAGATAGAGGATTTGCATTCTATTTGTGAACGGGTTAAGATATATTTGCAGAATACTGCTTGTTCCCAGAAGTCTTTTGCTGTTAAGCATTGTAGACCTGTCCCTTCTTATCAAATTGGTGACAGGGCTCGGTTGTCTACCAGCAACCTGTCCCTCATCCTGTTACAGTTAATGGTCAACTGGAATATGTGGTGCAGTCCATTCTTGTCCAGGCTTTCTCGTGGTTCATTGCAATATCTTGTTCATTGGAAAAGGTATGGACCCGAGGATCGCTCTTGGATCCCTGCTGTTGACGTTCAGTCTCCTCACCTTGTCTGCAGCTTCCATGATCGTTTTACTATCAAGTTTTCTGCTGTCTGTCTGCAGTGCTGGAGGTGGGTGGGGGGGCGCACTGTCAGGCTTACCCACTCTGGGCATGCGCATCTATTTGTATGAAGTCGCTGTTTTCTCCTTCGTTTGACCTTGGCTTTCTCTCTGACTACCCTTTATGTTAAATCTGGCCATTCTAAGGCCTGGTAATATGTTATCATATCCCTTCAGCAGATTAGGCTCTGTGAGTGGTTGGGTTCTTCTATCTAGCCGTGACAGAACCACAGATGGGAGTAATTAGGTAGATGGACGTGACAATTTTATGCCCCGTATGAGCCTACAAACCAACAAATCTCTACCAATGGGGATACTTTGTACGAGAACATGTGAAGCTGATTTGGCCGATCGCACAGCATTAATAAAACAATACAAACAGTGAAGATTAGGATCACTGGAAAAGGGCGGCAAAGGGATTAAGATGTCATTTCAGACACCAACCATTCCAGGAATTTCAGGCAGAAAAATAGTTCTTTGGCTGTGCAAGATCCTAGTAAATAGTCAAAGCCATCAAGTGGAGGTGGTCCTGCAGGACAGGCAGGTGAGGATTCCACCGTGAGCAACATTGGGAATGATGGAAGCAGAAGGGGGTCCTGAAAGTATAGTTCTAGGAGGTCCGTGCACCTCTCTTGACTGTGCCAAAACTTTGTAATTAACAGGGTTATAATTAACAGGGTAGACATGTTCTAAAGGGAAAGATGGCAAAGAACCCTTGCTATCATTGCAAAGGGGGAAACACATATACTCCCTGTGGAGGCTACCTCTGTAAGAAAGCATTCACTGTGGCACATTCGGGATCCAGAAGCGAACCAAAAAATTCTGGCGTCTGACGGTTGATTAGAGTGGCGAAGAGATCCATGTGGAACGGTTACTAAAATATGTTCAGTTGGTCAAGGACCGACATGTGTAGATTCCATTTGCTTGTATTCCTCCAATGCCTGGAGAACCAATCCATCAT